AGCAGGAATCCCCTTACCCTGCACACAATTCCTCTAGGACTGCTCCTCTTTCTTCTGGTGAAGGCCTAAAGATGAAGCTTGAGCAGGAAAAGTTGCTCTGGGAATTTTCAGCTGAGGCAAAGCCAAGACAGGAATAGCAGAGGCATTAGGGAGGTTGTAGCTCCCAGTTATCTGCATAATGTTCCTGCCAGGAAGCTGCTTTTCCCCTTCTCTCCCCTTCCTGCTGCAATCAAAGTCGAGGCACCCAGACCCAGGGATCCCCTTCCCTGAGCAGCCCTCCCAGGGACACAGTGAGCCACAGGGAGCTGGAGCAGCTCTGCCCTCATTTATACCTGCTGGGAGCTCACCCTGTGAGTGCCAGGGCTCAGCCTGGCAGCTGAGGAGGGTTTGGGTGCCCCAATGGGTTAGCTCACATCACCTGAGCAGCCAGAGCCATTCCCAGCTCTGCTTTCACCTGGTGCAATCCTCCTGCTCACCTGAGCAGTGGTGCTGTGCCTGCTCAGGGACACCAGGCACAGCCACCAGCTCTGCCAGGCTCTGCTCCAGAGGGAACAGGTTTAACTCCAACTCCTTAATTAATTCCTGCAAGTTAAGAAGGGTTTCTGTGCAGGGACCAGCTTTGATGTGATTGCTTTGGGTTAATTAAACTCCTGCTTGCACCCAGCTTCCCAAGTGCTCACGGAAACCTGGCTGGGATCCATCCAGGCAGTGTCTGAGCTCTCAGGGTGGCTGAGTTATCCAACCAGTTCTCCAGCAGCACTGGCTGTGCTCCTGGGGAGAGGAATTTCGGCATCCTGCACTAAATAACTCCTTGAAATCATCCGAGGGGGAGCTCTGTGCTGGTCACAGCATCCCACCTGCTGTGAAGGAATCCCTGTGAGCACCAGGACCTCACACCATGGGATGCTCATCCTCTGGAGCATCCAGCAGTGGGACTTCTCCTCCAGCAGGGATGAAAGCTCCTGATGTGTCTGGGGTTGGCATCAGGTGCTGGAGGTGTTCCCCTGGCTCAAACCTTGGCAGAGCCATCCCAGTGCCCATCAGTGCTCCATCCTGCAGGTCCAGCTCATCCCACAGGGAGCTGATCTATGGGAAACACGAGTCCTGACCCATGATGAACACTGTGAGGCTGAGGGTTTGCTCTAGGCCCTCTCCCACCCCCACTCAGCATCTCTCGGTAATTACCAGCCCCAGATGTCATTGGTTGTTTCATGGTGGCTGAGTCTGACTGGGGTAATTTACTCTCCCCTGCTCAGGTCAGGAAATGTTAATGTGGTTTAATGGGTGTTTTCCTAACCCCCCCTGCCCTCTCCCGTGGCTCCCAGGCAGCCTCAGCCCCGGGGGATGTGTGGGAAGGCAGTGCCAGGGCTGCTGTCTGTGTGCCAGGGCAACCAGGGGCCGTGGCCACCAGAAGGTCCCTGTGCCATCCTGAGTCATGGCCATGGGAAGGTCCCTGTGCCACTTCCAGCCATGGGAAGGTTCCTGTGCCATCCCCAGCCGTGGCCATGGGAAGGTCCTCATGCCATCTGCAGTTATGGCAGTGGAAAGGTCTCTGTGCCACCTCCATCCATGGGAAGATCCCTGTGCCAGCTCCAGCCGTGGAAAGGTCTCTGTGCCTTCTCCAGTTATGGCCATGAATAGGTCCTGGTGCCACCTTTTCCCACAGACAGGAGAATGTTCCTGTGCCATCTCCATCCATGGGAAGGTCTCAGTGCTGTCTCTACCCATGAGAAGGCTCCTGTGCCACCTCCAGCCATGGCCCTGGTGCCTCTTGGTGCCACTGAGAGGTGCCAGAGCTGAGGCCTGAGCTGCAGGAAAGGAGCACAGTCTGAGCTTGGTCTCAGACACATTTTTTTATTAAATCTTTCACCAGGGGAAGGCAAGAAGCATTAAATAACTGTCGGAAGTCCAGAATCCTGTCTGGCACAGAGTTTGGCCTCACTCAGGAGCTGTTCAGGGAGCCCCATGGGGCAGTGAGGACTGTCCCTGCCCCTGGGAGGCTCCAGCCAGGGCTGAGGGTCCCATGGCCAAGAGAGGCAGCAGCTCCCTGGGCACAGCCAGGCCCAGGGTTTGTTCACACCATCCCATCTCAGTGGCTTGGCCCATCTGCAGGTCAGGTCACACCATGGAGCTGCTCTCTCCCGTCTTCTGCGCGAGCTGCAACAGGCACAGATTGGGATTAGCAGGAAAATCCACCAGTGCATCCTCAGGGGACTGTGGGGTGACCACAGTGACCTTCCCTGTCTGGTCCCAAGCACAGTGATGGGAATTGATCCCACCAAGCCCTGCAGACCCCGAGGTCTCACCTGGCTCAGCAGTGGGATGTTTGCCAGCGAAGCCAAAAAACCAAAAGCCACTGGGAAAAAGCTCCTGTACCAAAAGAAAAGCCCTTGGTAAGCTCTGAGGAGGATCACCCACCTCCACTCTCCATCCTGGGGTGGCTGAGTGGGGTGGGACAGACCTGAAGAGGGTGATGAAGCCATAGGCCTCCAGCAGCATCCCCAGGACTGGCCACCTCATGAGGACAACGATCACCCCACCGAAAAAGAAGCTGGTGCCTTTCAGCTTCGGCCGCTGGAAGAAGAAGCTGAAGGTTCTCCTGATGCCGATGATGAAGACCATGCCAGAGAGGAAGAGGATCTGGGAGGAGGAAGGGGAGAGAAGCTCTTTGCCCCATCCTGGGCATCCTGGTGGGGATCCCCAGCCCCTCTGTACTCACGTTCCCGAAGGCCAAGAGCACCGCGTCGAAGTACAGGAGGATCCCAAAGAGGATGAAGAAGAGGCCGAAGCCAACCAGTCCCACTCCAATCCCTGCAGAGGACAGGAGGCTGAGACAAGTTCCACACCTTCAGCCCCATGTCAGGCTGCAGACACACTCCTCAGCACCTCCCTGTCCCATTCCCTCCCAGAAATACGCTGTGGATTTCTCTCCAAAGCTTAGAAACAGCCTTTTCACTCCTGCCCCTTTTCACTTCTGCTGCCCTAGCCATGGGGAGCCTGTCAGTGCCCTAGAAACCCTTCTGGGCTTCCAGGTAAACAGCAAACCACAAAGCAAACACAAATGGGAAGATCATCTCCAGCCTTTTCCTGAGCAGTGGCACAAAGGTGCTGGCACAGGCAGTGACAGGGGAGGATGGAGATGCCCCATCCAGGCACATTCCCAGTGCTGCTCCCTGTACCTAGCCCTCCCTGTTCCCCACATCCCCCTTCCCACTGAACCCCTCCCTGCCCCAACCAGCAGTTCCAGCCCCAGCTCAGAGCTGGTGCCACAGGGCTGGGCATCCCCTCCAGGACACTGCCGCCCCCTCCGTGCCCACTTACTCTGGAAGTCAGACAGAGACAGCATGTTGGTGGTGACAGGGCTGGGTGAGGCAGGGCGAGGGTGGCCCTGCTTCCACCTGCTCCAGCAGTGACCCTTGGAAAAGCCCTTTAGTCCCCACGTCATCCTGCAAATCATTAACACCCTTGGCAGTGCCTGCCCCGTGGCACTGCTCCTCCTCCAGGGGATGTGGTGTCTGGGCACTGCCAGGGGCTGGTGGCCACCACAGGACCCTGCCAACTCCTGCCCTCCCTGCCCTAGCTGTGTGGATTTCTTGGGAAGGGATGGATGGTGCTTGAGGAAGTCCTGAGATAGGGATAAATAGGGAGTATGTGACTCCTTTGGGGTGTCAGTGAGCCCCTCACTGCTCCCTGCAGCATCATCACCAGAGCATCCCAGTGGTCCCAGCTCACATCCAGCCTGCTCCATGGGAAGGGAGAGCTCTGGGAGTCCCCCAGCCCTTGGTGGGGGGATGATTCCTCAACCAGACCCACTGGCTGTAGCCAACACAAGGTCCCTGCATGGCATGTGTCCCCCCTGAGCCACCCACAAGGACCTCTGCACCCACAACCCTCAAGGCAATGCTCAGGAACCTTCTCAACCCCCAGCTATTCCCAAACCAGCCCCTTTTCTCCCTTGGTTTTACACAACCTGCCCAGGTACAGGTGTTTTATTCCTTCAGGAGATCCAAAATAAACTTTACAGGGCAAATGAAGTCCCAAACCAGAGAGAGGGAGGAGCAGGTGCCTCTGGAGAGAGCTGTGAGCAAGGTGAGTCCCTTCCCATCTCTGCTCCCTAACATGAAATTCAATATCCAAGGTCACCTCTGGACAAAAGACACACAAACGTTGCTGTTTCATAGATACTTTTATTTCTCTAACACTAGCAAAATATCCCAGAAAACAAGGACCTCCCAGCCCACCCTCCCCAGTGCATAAATAGATTTCCCTCCCCTACCCCGATGCAAATCCTTTCTGGGTTACAAGTCGCTGCTATATGAAGTGGTATGAAAAATAATAACCAAAATAAAATCAATTAAGGTTTTTGTTGTTTGAAAAAAAAAAAACAAACCAGAAAAACAAAAATAAAACCACAAGTGGGTTCCACAACAGGGACAGCCTTGGGGTCCCAAGCTGTGCTCACACCTCGGGGACAGCTCAGACCTGGTGCTGTGGCTCTGGGGGACACCAGGGAGGAGCAGAGGATGCTCCTCATCCTCTGTGGTCCCTGGAGATGGGAGGAATTGCTGCCTATGGGTCTGTGTGTCCCCTCAGCCTCTGTGAGGGTCACAGCCATCCCAGCTGTGTCCCTGTGGTGTCCCCCTGCACCCAGGGCCAGGGAAAGAAATGCATCATCTCTTCAACCTTACAGTCTCTGTTATATTTTATTTTAAATAAATTTTGCTTTTAATAAAAGCAGAAAAAATATATTTATT